ATCCCTGATTGTTCCCTATAAACAAACCCTTTGGGCCTTGTCCCTAAATACTTTTACAAAACTTCTTGGAGATTTCAGAGATGTTCTGGCACAGTGAAGGGTAAGTGAAGAAGTACGTAAGAAGAGGCATTTTCAGTGCTGCCTGTTGAAAACAGACCAGAAAGAAAGGCAGAGCATAAGAGGCAGAAAAGGGCATTGGACTCACCTGGAAGGAGGAAGAACTGGGTCCTACTTCCTGGAGTGGATATAACTAAATTGTTAAGCAGAACTAATTCAGTGGGCCTTTCCACTTTCAAATACGCTTTCTAGGCTAGAAGATTCTGTCTCCATTCTTCTCTCTTCTTTTGACCCACTGATTTTTATCATTTCTGGCAGCATCATAGCTTGGATTCTACCAGAAGGACTGCAGTCAAAGCAGTTTCTTGGGAAGTAACCAGGGGAGTCAGATCCACCTCTTTCTGAATTGTAGTAGTGTTCTTATCATTAAACTGGCACCACCACCCATGAAGTTAATTGAGGTGCTGACTATGACTAACTTTTCAGGATTCTGCAAGGTCTCGAGCAAGCTTTGGCAGTTGTATGTCTTATCCTGGATTGCTTTTAGAAGGAGATAACTATCTATCTCCATATTGTTCGGGTAGTTCTGAGGCTCTATGCCAGCCAGAAAAAATTCTAGCCAGATTAAAAGGTACGTAGTGAGTTCAGGTGCCAGGAAATCTTAGTAGTGCTGGAAATTGAGTAGACAGGACTGTTGTTTGGATCTCAGAAGGGTTTACATGCCTGGGACACACTTTGGGTGTGTGTACATCAACAACATGTAGTTTGAAACCTGCTGTCTTCTTGGAAGAAAAAAGTGGTCCAAAACAAAACAAATCCAGTCTAATCTGGGTATGACAGACATTAAAAATTATATTTAGTGTTCCATCTGGGGTAATTTCAGGTGAATTCCATACCAGCTCAATCTGCAGTCTCAGCAGTCACTGCTACCTGAGTATTATGTCATGTGTTTTGTTTCCAAACTAATAAAAGTGAAGAATTTGCAAGACTATAATAAGTATAGAAAAGATTAAAATGACAGTTGCATACTGAAAATCCGATCATTCCATTGAAGTTCCGTCATAAACAAAAATCTGTAATTATAAATGCAAAGTAAATATGAGTCTAGTACTTCACGGGGGGCCTCTTTAGACACAAATTCATCTCACTACTAAAGTATTTAAATAAGAAAACCCAGAAAATACCAGACAGCTGTATTTTAATAAGCTAACATGGTAAGGAGTTTGCTGGTTGTACCCTGTTGCCCATATTCGAATCTCTGTGCAACTCAGTCACTTCACTGTAATGTTTCTCTTGCATAACCATCTTAAAAACTATCTAATCTGTTGTTGTACCTTTTCATTCCTTGTTTGCGTTGATCTAGAACCAAAGAGCTTTGAATAAGTGCACAAATGCTGCATGAGGTATTACGCACCTGTGCGTAGCTGCAGGTTTCTGTTACAGATCTAATAAGCAACAGGTATATGTAGACCGTACAGTTACACATCTTGGAAACCTCAGGGTTAGGCTGACATAAGTGCCTTCTGATGGCTTGCTAGGTAAGATCTAGCATGAGGCTCTCTGGGGATGAATTTCTTAAAAAAAAAAAAAAAGTGGGTTTGACCACATTTATTTGATATTACATTCATAGGTGTAAAATAGCAGTTTATAGTTTCACTTGTCCATTTCCCTTGCTCTGGATCTGCCTCCCTGATCAAGAAATTCAATAGCTATTAAAAGCTGCAGCTGTACTAACAGTCTTATGCTTTATAGGAGGCATTTTGCAGCTATTACTTTAGAACAGGCGTTCTGTGCCAGTACAGATGTTGCGTCCACCTTTCTCATAAGCACTTTATCTGCACCATGGGCATTGCATTTCTAATGTTTTGCTTGAAATTGCTAAACATGCTCCATAGCTGTAATTTATTTGGGCTGGTGTAGTTTAAAGACCTGAAAGCTATTTCTGCACCTGTTCTATTCATCTGACCAGGAAAGCACTAATTCCACTGCACAAGAGTTTGTACAGTTTGGATCTCTTCTTTATAAATCTCCTGAACCAAACGGAGCCCTTTGATTCACATGTATGTTCCCCTTCTCTGAAGTAGAAATAGCTTGCACATATATATATAACTGAATTTCAATTTTCTGATATTGAAGGGAGAACATACTCTGTGATCTAAGGGAGGACCAGCATACACCTCCTGCATTCCCTCCCTTAGTCCATCCCCCTCTGAGTAATCAACCCTACATAGGGAAAGATGAAACATGTCGAACTGTGTGTGTAACTGGAGCAAACTCTGCTAGAATGATGACACTGGCTTCGTTGTGGAACGATACAACAAGCACTTCTGAGTGTAATTAAAGTGATATAAACTGAGTGAGAAGGAAAAGCAACTGCTTAACATCATATTTAAAGTGATATAAAGTGAGTGAGAAGGAAAAGCAACTGCTTAACATAACCTGGGTAACCTCCTGACAACACTGCTATCAGTGACTTTGTACTAATGTAAGGTAAGCAACAGTTGAAGAAGGCTGTGCTATTGGCAATAGCCTAAGTAATAAATGATAAATTTCAAATATTGAATGTTGAACCAGTATAAGAGCCATTCATTGAACTGTTTCAGCCCAAATTTTTGGAAGACAAACAAAGTCCAGGAGTAGTCCTAGCTTTGAAAGACAAAAAAACTCAAAAAAACCCCAAACCCTTTTAAAAATCCAGAAACCACCCCAAACCAAGCAAACAAGAAAGCCACTGTTCAGTGAGGTTTTTCAAAACCAAAGCTATGTCCCACTTTGTCCAATTCTGCCAGAGATGTATGTCATCCATACACATGTCATCAAATATGACTCAAACCGACCCTTCCCCCAAAATAAATAAATGCAACCACATTGACCTAAATGATTCTTTGGCATTTTAAAGATTCTACCCTACTTACTTGTGGTGCATTTTTAATTTAGAGTTAAACCAGGGACTGATCTGATACTTAATGTTTTTGTTAAAATAAACTAGGAAAAAAGCACTTGTGCTGTAATCAGTCTAGTAAAAAACTTTTAAATATGTAGTAAATTTAGTGCAATAGAACAGAGAGGCAGCATCTCTATAGGAAAAAAAACCAATAAAGGACTTAAAGAACAGAGCTACATGTGGAAGTAAAGAGAAGGCAATAAAAGGACAGAAGCTTATTTGAAGTATATATTTGGGGAACAGTGATTAAAAACTGAAGCAAAGGTATTATTAGTAACTATATTACTAAAATGAAAGGCTCCAGATTTGTGCATTTAGGCTTTGAATTCCTTTTGAAAGTTCTGATGACTGACAAACCACACAAGGCTCTTCCAAGAGGCCAAGGATACCTTCTTTCATTCATCTACAGGCAGAGCAGAATTTGGCCCCTTGGGATCAGGATGCCATCAGAAACTCTAGATAGAATTACAGTCCTGCTGTACACAGCTGAGTGTATTTAATTCTTTAAGTAAAATTCATGTCTTATGTGTTGTAAAAGAAATGAAAGGTAACTGTTAATTTCGAGGCTTATAAATATGTCAGTGGGTTTTCATAATGTCTTAATAAATTACAAGAACAAACTCAATAACTCATGATGTCACCAGAACTACATGCTGCACTGTATTTATTGTAATTATGTACTGTACCTCACAGAATTCTTTTATGTTCTACGTGAATATATAGGTCCCACTAAAATTCGAAACAACCCTCATTGATTTCTTCACTCTTTTTTTATTTGCCGTTTTCCAGCTGTTTTCTTGTTCTGAGCCTTTCTTCAAATGAAGAAAATATTTAAGAAAATGTATTTAAAAGAACATTGCTACAACTGCTATATTTATTCATTGAAAAGCTGAAGTAAAATACGGTTTTCAAATACCCTCAAATTTGGGTGAAGCTCAAATTTTCCTTGGATCCTAGTTCTCTGGCTGGCCACAAGCCCATATCACTAATGGTATAACTAGCTGAAAAATGGAAAAACAATTCCATGAAAATTTCAAGATTATTTTGGCTTAGATCTGAAATGTAGAGATAGCATCGATACCGTCGTGTCAGTAATGCTTCATTCTGTAGTCACAAAAATAAAAGCAGGATGAGCTCAATACTTTAGGTTAGTTAAATGTTTAAGAGTAATTCAACAGCGTTTCAAAACCACGAAGGTAAACTTTGCGTGTGAAGAAGCCCTTGACTCTCTAGTGCTCCCTGTCCAAACTGGTTTTTACTCTCACAGATGTAAGCTGCAAGTGTAGTTCGCGTTTAAGGGTAGCGATTAAATGTTCTTTGTGTCAAAAAAATAGAGTGAGTTGGATATATTGAGTTGGCCCTACTCCCACGTATATGCTTAGGTGTTGATTTCAATGGAACAGAACCTGTTACTTAAGGTGGGGAGAAATGGAAAGAATTCCACTCTGCATCCATTTTTTATAGCCCTTATTTAAAACTCTGGAAATGAGTGGTACATCTGAATTTAACATACGTTGATTTGATGACACGCTTCTCTGAAAATATGAAATAAACAAAACAAAGAAATGACCCCCAACGTTTCTCCCACTGTTACTGAACAAATTCTCCAAGGAATCTATATTTGAAAAGCCTGTACACGAAATCCCCTTGTTCAGGCTACGTGTGCATTAACGTATTGCTTGCAATGGAACAGGTATCTGTTCAGTAGGGAGGTCTTAATTTTCACTCTCATTTATCCAGAAGCAAACAGGAAACCCCATTCCAAACTTCCCATTCCAAAAATAATAGCAGTGTTCAGTCACATTTTATGAAAGCATCTTAGAATTTATATAAATAAAACTAGTGTACATTTCAAAGGATATATAAAATGCTGGCGTTTTGCTTTTACTGCAATGATCAAAGAGCCGATTAAAATTAAAATGTCATGAATTTTAAATTATGCATTTGGTCATAACAAAAATATTTTAAAAAAAAGATTTAAAGCAGCAGGTGTACCTTATATAGCAAGATAAAGTTTAATATATTTTATTAGCTTAAGGGACACAGAATAACTATCTATCCAGAACTTCAGGCATGCATTTACATAAATATATTAAATTAAGAAAAGCAATTATACACTTAAACATCCTTTTGTCTAAAAAAAATCATTAAATCCACAGATTAACAATAAATCCAACTCTATGCATTTATCACTTCCAGATACAACTGTTCCATTTCTCAGATATTACACAAATACATTTGTTAGAATTTATATGCATTATACATATATTATATATTACATAATAGTGTGTATACATACATGGTGTTCAATAATATAATAATAATTTGTACTTTTTATAGCACTTTTCATTTGAAGAGCTCAAAGCGCTTTACAAGGATTGATTTCACTAATTTTCAGATGGGAAGTGGAGGCACAAAGATGCAAATAATTCAGGTTATATGGAGTTTGTGACAGACAGTAACTGAATTAATTGTCTCGTTGTGAACTTCAGCCATGCTGTCTCCCTAAAGAGAAATACACATACAGCATACGTAGTCTATGTAGGTAGACTTGCAAAGACTTGTAAGGTCTCAAACCAAGAAAGCACTTAATTATATTAATAACGTTAAGCACATGACTTCAGTGAGACTCATATGCTTAAAATTACTTGTGTGCTCCAGTGCTCTGCTAGATGGGTGTTTGTATATGCTTAGTAGTATAATACAGTTTATAGAAGATACTTAAACATAGTTTGAATGATATTTTCTAAGCTATTTTTCCACATTTCAAATGTACATACAGTACCTGACAGCTACTATAAAATAAAACTAATTGAACAGAGGAGTATCACAACACTAATGTTCTCAAGTGACAGAATTTTGTTATTTCCTTTTCCTTTTCTGCTTGGCTCCCATTACCATCTAATTTCTCTCAAAAGGGAATTGAAGTTTTAATTCCACGGGATATTTTGTGGGGGACAGCTAATAGTATTTCTCAATAATTCACAGGGTAGGGTTACTGCTTCTGGTATTAACAGAGATCACTACAAGATACATCTGGGGACTTAGTACCAGATGGTTTCTGGTCTCAGTATATCTTGATATGAATTAAGTTCACTCTGCATTCTAAGTTTTGACTCCACCTATAACATTTTCCTTTCAGCGGCTCCTCCTAGGAATATTCAGAAAATGGGATTGGTTTGTTACTGCCTTGTGATGCAAATCACCTTTTTGTTCTACAGCAAAATTTATCCTACTTTAAAAAAAAACCCTCCAAAGCAGCCACCTCTCTCTGCCTTCTTTCCACCCAAGATGAATACTGTGAACACAGCCACCACGTATATTCACATGCTTTAGCTGGTGCCTTCTTTCTGAAGTTTCCTGGGAATTTAAGCAATTTTTCATTTAAATATTTTTTTTTTTTTACTTTGGTTTTTATTGCAAAATGAAAATAAATGGAATAATGTCATAGATTGTAAAAGGAGCTTAACTATATGATACATATGGACCCTATTGATCACTTATAGCAGATGGAAAGTTGGGTTTTATCAGTAGAAATAGAACTTTCTCCAATAATGCATCTTGCTGTTTGTGCACATTCTTAGCAATAAGTTCTGGCATTTTTGATTGTGGAAACCAGTGCGTGTACACCAGACAATAGGTAAAGACACACATTAAATGTACGTAACACAGAATATTATGTTTTTGTGAGTTCCTATAGCATGAAATGATCACTAGGATGATATATTTTTAGTACTGGGCACTCTGGTAAGCAGGTGTGTCGCTTGGCTTTGAAAGCAAAACGTACGGTGTAATGTGAAGAAAAACGTCCTGTGGCAGCCTGTGGGAGTTTTCTTTGGGTTATGGGACAACATAATAATCCTTTGCTAATATATAGACCAAATTAGTAATTATTAATAACTCGTAAATGAACTGAAGGAAAAAGGTTGTTGTGTCAGTTGAACCACTGGTACAGTGCTATATCCCAGATAAGGCGTTAGCGATACTATCTGATTAGTCAGTCTGCCCAATGTAAATCTGTGCAGTTAATTGCTAAGATTGTTTGGAGGTTGTGCATTTTACAGCAGGATAAATTCTGTGTGCAGAGTCGAAATTGAAATCAACGAGTACAAAGGCAAGCGGATGTAGTCTTAGTTGAAATATGACACTGTCCCTATTAAATACAGAAAGAAAAGTTTGAAAATGTGCCCAACGCCGCTCAATGCAGCCTTTGCAATACTGGGCTCAAAACAGTTGAGGGAACTCTCCCGTGGATCTTTGTGAGCAGCTGTGGGCACAACTTTGGGCCCTGCCTTACCGTGGCTATTTCATACAACAGGGCCACTGACTTGGGATTTTAATTACTTTCCTGCTTACAGGCATACGCTTATATATTTGAAAATTTGAAACATGTATGTGAAAGAGAAAAAATGAGAGCTAGTTGATCAGCATTTTAAACCAAGTACCAAGAAGTCTGGCAGATTGAATAGCCCCCTTGCGTTAAGTGTTGGCAATCCCTGTAAGGAAACCCAGGAGGACTGGATACGCTCCGTACGTCTTTTAAGTGGGATGTGCTCCGTAGGGCTTCACACAGGGCTGACTCTGCAGCCTTATTCCAGAAAACCTCAGCGTGCCTAATGACTGCAGATGCAGACACAGAGAGGTCATGTGTGCACTGATGTCTGAAGTTAAGATCTTCTGCCAGCTAAGTGGATATCTTTTAAGGACTTAATCCTATAACTAATGAAGTCAATAGGAGATTTTCGGTTGACATCAATGGACTTCGAGTCAGGCCCTCAAAGATTAAAGTAATCCTGTGCTAAGCTTTCAGGTGCTTTCTGCTGTTTCACACCTATATCCTAAAAAGTACACGTGTCTTATTTCACTGAATTACTCTGCTGTAATGAATCAACGTTTTAGCAAAACGCTCTGCAATGTTTTGCCCTGAAATTACTTATGGAAATATTTTATCAGTTTTTTTTGTAGCCAGAACCCAGATAATTTGGTACATGTTTTCTGCAAATTTGGCTTAGAATAAATCTAAAGGATTGTTTGCCTTTTTGGCGAGAGTCTTAGTTAATTTTTAAAAAATGATAAAAATAAAATATTGGTCAATTTTTTAATAGCTAAACGGGAAAAATTAGTTTTTATTTATTTCATTACTCCCTTCTGGTTTTTTTCTGCGACAAAGATCACCTTTTAAGTTGGATAGAAGATCAAAATGGTATAATTCCTAATTGATACACAGTTAAACTAAAGCATTGTAAACTAAAATGCATTAATGTCTTTTAAAGGATTTACATAATTAAGGAAAAATAAGCAGAGCGGGATGTCCTTGGAGTTGTTTTTTCCATGTATACCCAATCTTATAAAGGCCTATTTCATGGATGCAAGTAGAATTGCATATATGAATATTTATTTTCACTCTAGTGGGACTTTACACCTGTAAAAAATTATTTTCTAGTGTTTTCAGAATCTCCATTTTGCATATTTGTACATTAAAAGGTCCTCATTTCTAACCCCAGATTAGAGAAAAGCAAACCCTTTCACCATCCCAGGAATATCACTCTGCTTTTTACTTGAGGCACCTGATTATTGGATTGAAATGGGTGACTTTCTGATAAGCATAGTGCCTGTAGAGTGCCCCACAGCTTTCTCCCTTCCTCCAGCTTCAGCCTGCTTGGGGCTGGTACTCCTGAACTGAAAATGTCCAGCTAAGATACAGTACTAGAAGTCACTATAAAATAACCAAGTTCTGTGGAATGAATGAAAAGAAAGATAAAAACTTCAACCTGCTGGGAAGCCTCTATTAAGCAGTTTCAAAAATAATAAGCATCACCTGCAGCAACTGGGGATTACTGACCTTTGCTGTGGTTCTAGAAAGGAAGGAGCTGCAAATCCAAAATGTGGAGAAGTGAATGGAAGAAGGAGATAAACAGAGGTGTCATGTTGGCAATATAGGATTTTTACTCTTCTTTATACCTAATTTACACTTTGTTTGCATGAAATAGAATTACCTGTGTGGATTTAAAGGTACAAAGGGTTTGCATCTGCGTCCCTGACTGTTAACGGAAGAAATTTGTTTCCTTGATGGGGAGAGTTTGAGTTAATATTTCTTATTGGACAAATTAGAAAAATGAGTTTACTGTTTTCCTCAAATGATGTGAAACAATTTGGGGCTGATTTTACATAACATCTTTTTGTATCCCTACTTATCTATGGAGTAAAAAAGTTTCTCCTTATATTCCAGCAATACGCCTTCTTTCTGATCAGTGGCATTTAAAAAGAGAAAGAGGAAGATTTTCTGTCCAAAAATAATAAAATGAGCGTTGAAAACTAGCAGACATTCAGGAATGGAGTTACACTTCTTGCAACAGGTATGTTTGTTCTCTTTTAACAGTAGAAAGCCTCAAAGAATGCTTGAAATGTACAATGTGTTGGGAACAGAGAGGCAGTATCTCTGAATAAAGAAAGAAATGAATGGAATAAAAGATTAGGAGAGAGAGAGACAGAGACAACTTGAACACATACATAAAATCCCTTCTGGAGGCCCTTATCTAATTGCCTCATTTATCTAGTTTCATTTATAAGCTCAGTTTTATTCTGGGGCTCTCTCGGAGGTTGTGTGAGAATGGCTGCAGAATGACCTAACTGGCAACGGGCTTTCTACAGACCTTTTTTTTTTTTTTTTTGTATGCCAATTCTCAGGGCAATTACTGCAGTTGCCCTTTTTATATTAGCATCTTGGGTGGCTAGGCCTGGGGTTTACTCACTCTTTTTAATAGTATAATTTCTTTTGATAAATAAGCAGCTAGGATTTTGTGTGTCTTTTTTTTTTTTTTTTTTTTTTTGAGAATGCTTTTTTTCCACTGGGACTTCCTATGTACCCATGTGGGCTTAATGCAGATGCTTGCTTTTATATAATAGAAAAGATGATTTAAAAATGAAGCAAAACACTTTCCGCAAACTGTCTTCCCTCTCCCTCTAATGTTCATTTAGATTACTTCTTCGTTTTGATGGAATTAGTATTTTTCTAAAAAAAAATAAACTGAAGTGTTTTTTTTCTTAACTTTTGAAAGCGATTTTCTGGGTGCAGCTGATGTGAGTTTTTGCCATTGATTTGAATGAGGACTGGATCTAATTCTTAGCTTTTACTGGAGTTTTATTTTCTGATTTCACTAGTAAACTAAATTGTCTTTATTATTAAGACCAAAACTCTAAGATTATTTTTACCCCTGCTCTGCATGACTCTGGCATATATATTACTGGGGATGTTCAATTTAAGTACCATCCGTGGTATTTTTTGAGTCTCCAGGAACTAAGCTGTGAGAAAAGAACTATCACAACTCCCCAGCTGGTTGTTGAAAATAATGTGTCACAGTGGAGTTAAAAGTTGGGTTTATTTTTAAATATATTTCCTTAAAGAAAGTGTTAAAGTTGTTATCTCTGTCAGATATTTTAATGTTGCTAAAATACTTCAGTGACTTTCTTGCTTTGCCGATTATGAAGAGTGTAATAAAACTGCGCCATTTGACAGATTTAGACAGCTGGCTCATTCATGAGAAGTTCACATTTTTGTCACCCACGTTGAATAAGGAAAGATTAGATGCTAAGGTCAATTTACAAAAATGGTTGTCAGGACATTTTTTAATTGTAAAACTTTTTGTGATGGAATTCAGGGAAAAGACTAAAGGCAGAAAGCAGCGGAGACAAAGAGCTGCTATTAACCTACAGATGCTACCGCAGGGTTCATTTTGAGATTGGTCACACTGCTTAGCCAATGAAGTGTTCGTGTGACTATAAGGGACCACCCTTTTCTGGGGTGAGAGGGCAATTTGGTCTTCATGCTCATTTAATCCCGAGACGTCTTTCAATGGACTGTCAGTTGGATCTACATTGTGCAAAATTATGCATGCACTTTTTAATGCAGACCATTGTTCGCTGAGCACTTAACCAAGGTTTCTCAACCAGTTTCCATTTGGCATGAGGTCACTCGAAACCCAAGCAAACATATATGGAAGGCAAATGTAATTTTCTCTTCCTCTGAGCTGGAATGCGTAAGACAGAGAAATGCAAGTTATCAGTCATGCTGTACTTTCGGATTTAATACTTGCTAAACGAGGACTGACAACTTTCTGTAAAGGAAAATTCGTTGCATGTCACTGCCCTGGAGAGGTAATTTTGCTAATAATTGATAATTGGAGAGTAATACGGCTAAAGTCTTTCAGATCTTATTGCCTGAAGTGTTGTAAATCACTGACGCGTGAGCAGCTGCTTATAAGAACCATAGGACGTGCATCCTGGGGCTACTCTGCTTTCTTTTCAGAGGCAAGATCTCATAAAAGCCAGGTAGTGCAAAGGCAATCTGATAGTGGGTAAGCAGCGAGCAACACAACTGCCAATAACGCCCTAGAGCTGGAGATAAGAGGGCACCAGTTCTGAAGATACATTTAATTAGACTGTTAATACTTTAGAAAACCTGACTATAGCATGTACACCATATTTATTAAGACATTTACAAAGACTCGGTTTTCTGTTAGCTCTTGGAGGAACATTTACATTTAGAACTGCATTTGGTGAGAATGGTTCTATGTTTTGTACAAGTGCCATCTTACACGTGCTCGTGTGAGCTCTCATCCAGGGACGTTCCGTTCAGAGGGAAATCAGCAGCAGTCTACTCCTGTAAAATCTGGCCCGTCCTGTTACAGTGAAAATCACTTTATGAACACTTTTAACATATGCTGGAATTTTATTATGATTGGTTGGCCGTTGGTGGTTTGTTTTTTTTTTTTCATCCGTCGTAAATGAATACAAGTTGACACAAGGATACATTTCTAGATTAGATCCACAACACATTAAAGAGTGTGTTTGCTCTCTCTTTCCCCGGCTTTCCAATTAAGTTGGTGAAAAATGTAACTTTAGTATTTTACAGGACATGGTAAAGCTGTCTCATCTAGGTGATGTCTATATTATAAAAATAAAATAAAATAATATAAATATGTAACATGAACCCAGTGCCCATCGTTAAATAAAATATATGATAAAAAGCAGACCTTCTAGGATGACTGGTTTTGAAATATGCGAATATAATTTAATTATTAAACACTTGAAACAATCTTGATATTAAGCTGCGATAACCAGATTTTTGCATCTATGCTAGATAAAGAAATGCGTAACATTCTGTAATAGAGTTACATTGATGAAGGTGAAGGTTACAGTCTTACAATGAATTGCCTAGATAGGAATGCATTAAGGAGTTCTGAAATACTGTCTGATGATGTAGTTCAGTTCAGCTCACCTCAGAAACTGTTACAACTGGATTTTATTAAGTCCAGCAGTTCGTACAGCCGTGTTTGAAAGCTGCGCTCTTATTGCTATAATCAGATAGGTACAGACACGAGATCTCTGGGATGTCAAAGAATCCATTAAGACATCGCAAAAGTCCTTTGACCAAAACGTGGTTTACAGTGGAATTACTTTGTAAACTATTTCTCATGAAGAAATAAATATTAAAAAAAAATTCCACTAGCTGTCAAACTGTGTTTGCCATAGTGCGTGCGTGGGTATGTGTGCACCTATTGGGTATCGGTACGTCTGTGGGGACGTACGGAAATATTTACACACATACAAAGAAATTATCTGCACATTTGTGGATATTATACTTAAATTAATAAAGTAAATCAAATCACCGGTATTTGTTGCAGGATAACAGTCTTTTAAAAACGACAGGATTCAAAACAAATGCCCGTTGAAAGTGTAGTTTCCAAATAGTCCCAGAAACTATACAATATAGCTGGTTAGATCCAGCAAATAGGATGTCATGTCTAGGATCTGATCAAGAATACCTGCCCTTGTCACTCTTCGGATGTTTCTATCCACTTGTTCGCACTGGGGGCCGAGATAGCCTTTTTTACATAAGCATTTATTAGGCCTTACACAGACACCTCCATGTCGACAGGCTGGGTCACATTTTGCTGTGGGTAGAAAAAGAGCGATTTTCTCATTTGTTTAGAACATCACAAACCAAAAAGATACAGTACGCATTCATTAAGAGCTTCTCTACACTTACAGTGGTAAAGCACAGAAATTAAAAACAAAAGAGAAAGGATGAAATATTAGACGTTTTGAAACCATATTTTTTAAAGCTTTAGAATATTAGGGGGAGGAAATAATTTTGTATGTCTGGGAGGGCATCACCCAGGACAGACTGAAACTCAAAAAAGCAGATTTTTGAAAATGTCCAATTCCCATACTCATGCTTGATTTTGGAGTGTGTAGAAGACCCATCTCAAAGGACTTTCAGGCCCCAAATAACTTACCGTTTGAAAACTAGACATCTAGATTTTTAAAGAGTGGTGGCCTGTCTCATCCCATTTCTCTTGCTGGCAACCCAGCAGAGCCCTGAAGTTGGTTAAAGTTTTCTCTCTCTTTTTAGCAGATGCCTGACAATTTACCTATGAAGTTCTAGGTTAATCAGCTTGCTTAAGTTTTTCAACTATAAATGCTATTTTAAATTGTAGCCAGTGTTAGCAAAGCTAACAATCAATAATTTTAGCTGTGGAAGTATTTTCTGCTGCGGTAGAGTCACAGCACTGTGATAAATTAAATATATTGTTCTTTTTGCAGACATTTTGCCATTTAATGTTATCTATTACAATAAAGCTGTAATATGGATTTATGGAGATTTATAATTCATTACATAAAACCAGGTTTCTTGATTTTACTCATGAGTTTCTTAATTACCCTAGAAGGAAACTGATGCCTTGTAAGGTAATTTTTCTTATTTAAATTTTAATCATAGCTTGAGTTCCAACATAAAACATCTCTATTATGTGCTGAGTGGGATACAGGGAAGAAATATCCTCAGTCCACATATTTTCTGTAGCTTTCTTGTATATTGCATCTACCAAATTATCTATCAGTTTTTAAACAAAGCAGATTATTCAAGACCCATTTATGTTCACAGTGGAGATGGTTTTTACTTTAAGTTCCACTTGGACAAGGGCTGTAGAATGGGCCTTATTCTCTAAATGTAGGAAATCTTGACTGACAATTGGAATTGGGCTATTTGGCCAGATGACCTCATCCATTTCTCCAACCTGCTTTTGTTGATGGCTGTATGATGGTCAGCTCATGAATGTTGCAAGTAAGATATATTAGTGATTTATTTCATTTTAATCGAAACTAAGTCACTCCTGCTCATCACTAAAAAGCCAGAACTTCCTGAAATTTACACTCCAGACTATCAGGACCTCATAGCTGACCCTGCTTCATCAAGGTCCTCCTGAGTGCCCTTCCAACCTGAATTACCCCTTGTCTATTGTGTGATACTTGTTTTGTCTTACTCTGTGACTCTTTTCCTCTTTTGAGTTCTACTACTGTCACGTTAACCGTATCTCTTTGTATAGGCATCTGGTCAAACTCTCTGAGCAGATAGACTCAGTCAGAAGACTGTGCTGATGCTTGAAGAGCACCTCCTGGTACCCAGGCTTGCTCTGAAGATCTGCATAGGCCAGAGTTGCCCAGCTCAGGCATAACCACAGCCTCTGTGAGACAGCAATAGCACAGCTGGGGCACTCCAGGTTCATTTGTCTCACCCCTTTGGTGACATACCCAACATCTAGTTAGAGCACAGTCACTTTTTCAAGTGACTTTTAAAAGAGATGCTACGGCAACAAGATAGGACTTCATAAAAGCACTGTGATTAATAATGGATTACAATAATGTTCTGATTATTAGCTGCTTTGTGATAAGTTGTAAATAGAATTCTCTTTAACAAACTAGAGCCATTTTATTTCGTAGGATCAAAACTAAGCGTGTACCAAACCTCAAGTATTTGCATTAAATTAGTGAAGTGCAAAATCTGCAATAATGACCTGCCGGTCTGATTTATGGTCTTTCCTAACAAGGTACTTCTGTTTGACACTGACAATGCACTTTCCACTGCAGGTGGAAACTGAATGTCCAAAGACGGAACATGTATTGATTGCGTTTCCTTTCATTATACAATCTTGGTGGGGAGAAAAAAAAAATAAATACTTTTGTCTGTCATATTTATGCTACTAATTACATTCTGTAATGGGTCATATTATATTAGATATTTTAACTGTTGCCCTTATCTAAAGACGTATTGTTCTCCTACATATTAGGAGATCGATATTTTTTTAATGTTGCCTTAGAAGTGATGGTCAATGACGTATATTGAAAATTTCTCTTAGAAAATAATTAAAAGAGAATTACAGCATGTCACTGCTTTTTTCACTTGTTGCTATGAATCTATATACAAACCAGCTCTGCAGAACTCTCCTTCCCAGCCTTGATTACAGCAGCATTTTCCTGTGGGAGTGCAGTGCCCGTTCCGACAATGCCTTGAGCATTCGGACGTCAGTACCTGTGCAGACTGGGCTGTTCTTTTGCATTCTTCAGGGACTAAAGGCCTGAATAAAAATATACAAACCAAGCAGACAGTTAAAAGTTGGGGTCAAGGAGAAAAACCTTGGTTTTTTAGTAAAGACCTGGTACACTGACAATGCACTTTCCACTGCAGGTGGAAACTGAATGTCCAAAGACGGAACATGTATTGATTGCGTTTCCTTTCATTATACAATCTTGGTGGGGAGAAAAAAAAAATAAATACTTTTGTCTGTCATATTTATGCTACTAATTACATTCTGTAATGGGTCATATTATATTAGATATTTTAACTGTTGCCCTTATCTAAAGACGTATTGTTCTCCTACATATTAGGAGATCGATATTTTTTTAATGTTGCCTTAGAAGTGATGGTCAATGACGTATATTGAAAATTTCTCTTAGAAAATAATTAAAAGAGAATTACAGCATGTCAGTGCTTTTTTCACTTGTTGCTATGAATCTATATACAAACCAGCTCTGCAGAACTCTCCTTCCCAGCCTTGATTACAGCAGCATTTTCCTGTGGGAGTGCAGTGCCCGTTCCGACAATGCCTTGAGCATTCGGACGTCAGTACCTGTGCAGACTGGGCTGTTCTTTTGCATTCTTCAGGGACTAAAGGCCTGAATAAAAATATACAAACCAAGCAGACAGTTAAAAGTTGGGGTCAAGGAGAAAACCCTTGGTTTTTTAGTAAAGACCTGATTCTCTTTTTTGGTATTATCAGTGGGAGAAACCTGTGTTCTGAAAGGATTGCTTTTTTTTCTAACACCAGTAGACATAGAGATTATTTGTTACGTTACAGAAAAATGCAGTGTGATTTGCTATTCTTTCATATAACTGCCTTCAGAGATCTTCTACAAGATTAAATCATGGTCCTTGAGAATTCTTGAAGCTTGAGCCTGGCAAAACTAGCTTGCTGAAGAGCTTATCACAGGCAGCCTGTATCTCTAGATATATTACACGTGCTTAATTCTACTGATTGTGTGGCTTTTCTTCAGAGAGTGCAAATAGTCATATAATTCAGTCCAGAATCCGATGGTGTCTATTTGTTTTTCTAGCTGATCTAGATTTCCAGTTGCATGCTGGGGAGAGTAATCTAATGGTGTCTTTGTTTTTCTAGCTGATCTATATTTCCAGTTGCATGCTGGGGAGAGTAATCTGAACAGCAAGTTTTATGTCACGCATTATGACATGCATAATAACTTTGTGGAAGTATTACCTCTGTCTAATTTGACGTTACAGATTTTTTATTTCCATATTTTTGTGAAATCCTATTTGGATTATGCATTCTGGGTGCTTATTTAAGCTTCTGAACATCAGGAAAGTCTTTTTCACCATGAGGGTGACTGAGAACTAGCAAAAGTTGCCCAGAGAGGTTGTGGAGTCTCCATCCTTGGAGACATTCAGAAGCTGTCTGGACATGGTCCTGGGCAACTGGCTGTAGGTGGCCTTGCTTGAGCAGGAGGTTTGGACCAGGTGACCTCCAGAGGTCCCTTCCAACCTGGGCATTCTGTGGTTGATTCTGTGAAACGTATGCATGAAGAAAATTCTAGTTCAGCCGACTTAAATATTTCTGATACTGCTTTTTTATTTGGCTTCTTGGTGTCTTATGTGATGCATTTTTTCTGTCAGTCTCTACAAAATATTTTGCATATCCGGTAGCCTTTTTAATTTACAAAAGCACAACATTATCTTCCTTGACAAAGAAGGAACTGTAGTGTTCTTTCTGTAGCATTAAATATATAAAACACGTAGGTGTTTTATGTAAGCCTTTCACTTAATCATGCCCTAACTGTTGATATGACTTCCAACACTTTTTTAGATATTCATTAGTTGTTTTTTTCAAATTTAGCTATATGTCCTCATGCTGACCACTTATTTTATTTGCTGTCTGAGTTCAGCAGCAAGAGACTGACAGGATCATTACAAGGCTACAGGTTCCCAGTACAGGTACCATCTCTTGTTTGTGGGCATTCTGTGGTTGATTCTGTGAAACGTATGCATGAAGAAAATTCTAGTTCAGCCGACTTAAATATTTCTGATACTGCTTTTTTATTTCTTCCAACCTAGGTGTTCTGTGGTTGATTCTGTGAAATGTATGCATGAAGGAAATTCTAGTTCAGCTGACTTAAATATTTCTGATACTGCTTTTTTATTGGGCTTCTTGGTGTCTTATGTGATGCATTTTTTCTGTCAGTCTCTACAAAATATTTTGCATATCCGGTAGCCTTTTTAATTTACAAAAGCACAACATTATCTTCCTTGACAAAGAAGGAACTGTAGTGTTCTTTCTGTAGCATTAAATATATAAAACACGTAGGTGTTTTATGTAAGCCTTTCACTTAATCATGCCCTAACTGTTGATATGACTTCCAACACTTTTTTAGATATTCATTAGTTGTTTTTTTCAAATTTAGCTATATGTCCTCATGCTGACCACTTATTTTATTTGCTGTCTGAGTTCAGCAGCAAGAGACTGACAGGATCATTACAAGGCTACAGGTTCCCAGTACAGGTACCATCTCTTGTTTGTGCTGGGGGTTTGATTCCACAGGAATAAGTTGAGAAAAATTTGGCTTCTTGGTGTCTTATGTGATGCATTTTTTCTGTCAGTCTCTACAAAATATTTTGCATATCCGGTAGTCTTTTTAATTTACAAAAGCACAACATTATCTTCCTTGACAAATAAGGAACTGTAGTTTCTTCTGTAGCATTAAATATGTAAAACACTTAGGTGTTTTATGTAAGCCTTTCACTTAATCATGTCCTAACTGTTGATATGACTTCCAGCACTTTTTTAGATATTCATTAGTTGGTTTTTTTTTCAAATTTAGCTATATGTCCTCATGCTGACCACTTATTTTATTTGCTGTCTGAGTTCAGCAGCAAGAGACTGACAGGATCATTACAAGGCTACAGGTTCCCAGTACAGGTACCATCTCTTGTTTGTGCTGGGGGTTTGATTCCACAGGAATAAGTTGAGAAAAGAATGTCAGGATTTTCCAGGAGATCTAAACAAGTAATTGAATGGGAACGTAATGACAAATTAAGTTAATTAGTGGCAAATATAACATTATTCATTCTCAAGGAAATAGCTTGAACTACTGCCATACGTTCCTAAGCTTGAAATTTGCAGGACAAAGATTCTAATAGTTTTGTGGAAACCTTGGCTAAGTGTCCAACTACAATCCAAACAAACCAAAACAAAATCATGTGAGACAGAATAGAATAGAACACTGCAGGTGGAAACTGAATGTCCAAAGACGGAACATGTATTGATTGCGTTTCCTTTCATTATACAATCTTGGTGGGGAGAAAAAAAAAATACTTTTGTCTGTCATATTTATGCTACTAATTACATTCTGTAATGGGTCATATTATATTAGATATTTTAACTGTTGCCCTTATCTAAAGACGTATTGTTCTCCTACATATTAGGAGATCGATATTTTTTTAATGTTGCCTTAGAAGTGATGGTCAATGATGTATATAGAAAATTTCTCTTAGAAAATAATTAAAAGCGAATTACAGCATGTCAGTGCTTTTTTCACTTGTTGCTATGAATCTATATACAAACCAGCTCTGCAGAACTCTCCTTCCCAGCCTTGATTACAGCAGCATTTTCCTGTGGGAGTGCAGTGCCCGTTCCGACAATGCCTTGAGCATTCGGACGTCAGTACCTGTGCAGACTGGGCTGTTCTTTTGCATTCTTCAGGGACTAAAGGCCTGAATAAAAATATACAAACCAAGCAGACAGTTAAAAGTTGGGGTCAAGGAGAAAAACCTTGGTTTTTTAGTAAAGACCTGGTTCTCTTTTTTTGTGTTATCAGTGGGAGAAACCTGTGTTCTGAAAGGATTGCTTTTTTTCTAACACCAATAGAAATAGAGATTATTTGTTACGTTACAGAAAAATACAGTGTGATTTGCCATTCTTTCATATAACTGCCTTCAGAGATCTTATACGAGATTAAATAATAGTCCTGGAGAATTCTTGAAGCTTGAGCCTGGCAAAACCAGCTTGCTGAGGAGCTTATCACAGGCAGTGTGTATCTCTAGATATATTACACGTGCTAAGTTCTACTGATTGTGTGGCTTTTCTTCAGAGAGTGCAAATAGTCATATAATTCAGTCCAGAATCCGATGGTGTCTATTTGTTTTTCTAGCTGATCTAGATTTCCAGTTGCATGCTGGGGAGAGTAATCTGAACAGCAAGTTTTATGTCACGCATTATGACATGCATAATAACTTTGTGGAAGTATTACCTCTGTCTAATTTGACATTACAGATTTTTTATTTCCATATTTTTGTGAAATCATATTTGGATTATGCATTCTGGGTGCTTATTTAAGCTTCTGAACATCAGGAAAGTCTTTTTCACCATGAGGGTGAGTGAGCACTAGCACAAGTTGCCCAGAGAGGTTGTGGAGTCTCCATCCTTGGAGACATTCAGAAGCTGTCTGGACATGGTCCTGGGCGACTGGCTGTAGGTGGCCTTGCTTGAGCAGGAGGTTTGGACCAGGTGACCTCCAGAGGTTTCTTCCAACCTAGGTGTTCTGTGGTTGATTCTGTGAAATGTATGCATGAAGGAAATTCTAGTTCAGCTGACTTAAATATTTCTGATACTGCTTTTTTATTGGGCTTCTTGGTGTCTTATGTGATGCATTTTTTCTGTCAGTCTCTACAAAATATTTTGCATATCCGGTAGTCTTTTTAATTTACAAAAGCACAACATTATCTTCCTTGACAAATAAGGAACTGTAGTTTCTTCTGTAGCATTAAATATGTAAAACACTTAGGTGTTTTATGTAAGCCTTTCACTTAATCATGTCCTAACTGTTGATATGACTTCCAGCACTTTTTTAGATATTCATTAGTTGGTTTTTTTTTCAAATTTAGCTATATGTCCTCATGCTGACCACTTATTTTATTTGCTGTCTGAGTTCAGCAGTGAGAGACTGACAGGATCATTACAAGGCTACAGGTTCCCAGTACAGGTACCATCTCTTGTTTGTGCTGGGGGTTTGATTCCACAGGAATAAGTTGAGAAAAGAATGTCAGGATTTTCCAGGAGATCTAAACAAGTAATTGAATGGGAACGTAATTAAGGAACTGTAGTTTCTTCTGTAGCATTAAATATGTAAAACACTTAGGTGTTTTATGTAAGCCTTTCACTTAATCATGTCCTAACTGTTGATATGACTTCCAGCACTTTTTTAGATATTCATTAGTTGGTTTTTTTTTCAAATTTAGCTATATGTCCTCATGCTGACCACTTATTTTATTTGCTGTCTGAGTTCAGCAGTGAGAGACTGACAGGATCATTACAAGGCTACAGGTTCCCAGTACAGGTACCATCTCTTGTTTGTGCTGGGGGTTTGATTCCACAGGAATAAGTTGAGAAAAGAATGTCAGGATTTTCCAGGAGATCTAAACAAGTAATTGAATGGGAACGTAATGACAAATTAAGTTAATTAGTGGCAAATATAACATTATTCATTCTCAAGGAAATAGCTTGAACTACTGCCATACGTTCCTAAGCTTGAAATTTGCAGGACAAAGATTCTAATAGTTTTGTGGAAACCTTGGCTAAGTGTCCAACTACAATCCAAACAAACCAAAACAAAATCATGTGAGACAGAATAGAATAGAATAGAATAGAATAGAATAGAATAGAATAGAACAGAACAGAACTGAATCGGACCGAACCAAACCTTGTTCATTATACTGACACAGCATTAAAACCCCAATAATATGCAAATAGCTGGTATGGTAACTTGTGCACTGATTGCCCTGTCAAATATTAAAATCCTAGATTGATACTCCTATGTGGAGAAGAGCCTAGTCTTTGGAGTCTGAGAAAGTAGGGGTATGATGGAGGTGCAGAAAGCAGTGACAGAAAAAAAGAGGAGCAAAATTGGGCATCCTTGTTTGTCTCCCATTTCAACATCAGAAGAAATATCGAGGGAAAAAATTAAGTAAAGAAAATAAAATTAACCAGCTGAACTCATGGCTTCTAAGATATCAATGAAGCCCATGTTCTAGTAGGATTTTAAAAAGATATTTCTATGCACAATGGAGCTATTCAAAGTAATATTAGATAGGGTAAAAATAATTTTTAAGAAAAATAAGCACTCATACCTAGTGTCACAGAAGTCCCTCACTAGCTGACTAGGCTTACATTTCCCTCCCACCCCCCGCATTTTGGCATGCAGCTTGTTAATGGTACATTACAGGCTTTCTTGCATTTTTCTTTGAAACAGAGTAATAGAGTACAGGCTCACTGGTTTGTTTCACCGTAGCACTTTCTCTGCTCAGTCTTAATTGCTACCATGATTATTTAAACATCCGTACAGAAGAACTGGTTCCCCAAAGATGTTAAGGACAGAAAGAATGTGTAGACGCATCTCTAGTGTAGCACCAAGTTCTGATTTCCAAAGCTCTTCTGAGAATCAGACTTAAGGTCCTGCATTATTTAAGGGTTTTGAAACATGTTTTGACACCTTTCGTGCAGCATATTTGAAACTCTTTCAGGTTTTGTGTTTATGTATTTCCACAGCTGTCTTTTAAGTATAATGCATTATTTTTTTTGACCTGTAAGGAATTCCAGTTCTGTAGTATTGACTGCATTACACATGATCTGGTTAAGAAAGTTCCTACATGTAATAATTATATGCAAGATTCAGAGGCAATGCTGGCTTGGAAACCGTTCTACCAAATTATATGATTTTCAGTGGAGACTTGTTTAGATTTAAAGTAAAAAGGTCTGTATTCTAATTTCTACCTCTAGCAAAAAAAAAAATAAATCTAAATTTGAGTTATTTCTCTATAGCCAGCTCCATAGAAGACAATATTCTTTCTTCATGTGTTGAAGTGCATTTCTTTCAAGTTACTTTAAATGGGAGTCTTCTCTTTTTCTTGCTCAAACACAGGTAGAGTACTCTGTTTAGCGGGAAGCATAACTTTAGGCTTCTGGAGCATCTCTTGGAAAAGAGCTCCAGTGGCATATCTTTAGCAAAGAATGACCTCATAAGTCACGGAGGTATTTTATTTGTGAAAATAATGGTTTATTTTATTAATAGATATAAATTATTTATCTATGATAGTCCTGGAGTATATAGGGGGTTTTTTTATTTGCATTTAATTAGGGAGGCAGAAATCATACTTTTTTGTATCCAGCAGAGCATGGCCGGTCACTTTATGATTTAAAGTTTTCTAGCACTCTTGGTACTTGTGAATATAACCTTGCCTTTTATTCTGCCATCAATCAATAACTTGCACTCATCAGCCTCGGATAATATTTATTAATGGTGGGGTGGAGTAGAAACAAAGATGGAAAAAATTCTGGCTGGCAGAGTGCCTTAGGAGAAGAGGAATACAAATGCAGCTGCAGCAGAATCCTTCTGGTGTGTGAGAAGAGTTACTGGTTTTCCTGAGCCGTACTACGGGAAAAGCCACGCTTCTTTCTCAGGGTTTGAGTGCCCTTACGGGGCCAACAAGCATCAAGGGAAAGTCTCTGCCCCACAATACTCACACAATGCATCCTTCAGGCTTTAAAGGGGTGGAAATTTTCAGGCTCTGCCCAAGTTGAACGGAATCTCACAAAGATAACATAAGGCTTGAAGCTGACTGTTGGGACTTGATCTTTCCAGCACTTAGACAAGCCTCTGATTTTGTTTATATAACTAGTGCTTCGCTCTGTCTCTTGATGTGGAAAATGGAGGGGAATAGATGGAGCCCCACTGCGGGCTAGAGAGAATTTTTTTTCCTTGTCTCCCTCAATCTATAAAACTCTAAAGGGTACAGCTTGCTTACTCTTACAGTAAGCACTACTTGGTCCGCAGAAAGTCAGCCAAAAATGTAGCTGATAATGACTATTTATATGGACTGTACAATTCTAGTTATCTTAAAGAGCTGTTCATATATACAGTACAGTACAGTATATCTTGCTTGTTAAAACATGCTTTCATGAAACTGTGTAACAACTCTAAATGTATGGAACATGGAGGGAAAGTTGTACTGGGGGCTGGGGCCCTCGCTGGGTCCCGTCGCTGACGTGTGCAGTGAGCTGGGAATTCTTGCCTGTGCGTTGTGTAAAACCATTTTTGCTGCATTACTGTAGCTGGTACAAGAAAGCAGCCTCTGCTGTTAGCTTGGAGGGCGTGTAACAGTCTAGCAGGCTTTAATAGGTTAAAACTCATCCTGGAATTGCTTAGGATTTCATGCTTTCTTTAGTGCATCTCTTCACCGTTCCACTAAACGCACAGAGTGATTTAGTTGCTGTATGCACTAGGCTGTTAACTCAGACCCACATAGATCAATGCAAATGGAGGGTCAAATTCAGCAATAACACAATGGTACTGAACCGAAAACAAATTCCTCCCTCGTGCCTTTGACACAATATCAAAAATCTCTACTTTCCCACTAAAGTGAAAAAAAAACCCAGACAAAATTCCTGGATGTTCAAATTCAAACAAGAGATGTGGCTGTAGAAATCCTGATTGTGGTACAAAATATACCAAAAGAATGTTATGCTTCAATTTACTGCACGCAAGATATGAGGTATTAGAATGATGCCGAAGTATATCACCAAAAGTTGTGCAGTAGTTGTTTGGCTTTTTTTCCTTTATAAGGGAAAATGTCAAGAAAATATAATTTTGTTTCATACTTGTCATAGAGTAAATTTACTAGTTGTCATAGAATAAATATAACATCTCTTCAGGTACAGC